CCCCCCCCCCCCCTGGACCCACCACTGAATCCTGCATTCAGGCGAATACATAATAATATTTTATAGAATAGCTTAAATAAATGTTCCGGTTTATGTGGAACTGAGTATGCACTTCTGTGTGCTTCAGTATTCATTTTTATACCATCTACTACACTGGAATGATGGATTAATGATTCACTGATTCTCACAAACATGCATCTACCAGTTGGCTTATTAGCTCAGTGGACCTTTTTGACTGCAGTACCTTTAATTTTTCAGGGTTTAATTTCTTGCAAGAAGTTATATGTGACCCTTAAAGGGCTCAAAAGGGAAGGTAAAATATCCCTGGAGTAAGAACGAAATGTGGTCGTTTCGCCCGGACTGAAGTCGATTTGCCCGATGACAAACGACAGGGGCGTAGCCAGCTTTTCGACTAGTTGTAGCCTGGCTGTCTTTCATTTCCACATATCCTGTAAATTGCACGCATTGCTAGTATGTACTGACCTTACCAACACTTGGAGTTCTTAAGCTATTTAGCTCACCCCAGCAAGGCATAATCATAGGCTCCTGGCATAATTCATTACAAGCGATAGAGTGATACAACCAAAAATTTGAAGGCTTGGGCCTCCAGGTCTGCGGGCTGGCTACACCCCGAACGATACTCTACAACACGAAATTATGATTTTTAGTTCAGCTTGGATACTATTGCTGCGATTGCTAAAAAAGGGCCCAGCGATCTGACAGGTCTTAGCGATCTCGATAATTACATGCGAGATACTAAAACACTTTACATAAAACTGAGGTCTAAATGTAAGTCAGCGATCACAATACAACGATCGCTTCGTTGATCTTTAATATATTTTGTGTGAAGTTTTCACTGAAAAAAGGTTGTTGATCCACATCCATAGTCACTTTTGTTTCACGCTTATTCCTTTCCTTATTCCAGGATTTCAGAACGACAAATAAACATCGGGCGAATCGACTTAAGTCCAGGCGAAACAACCGTGACTTCGGGCGAAACGACCTGTTAGATCCTGTTACTGTAAGAAATTCCCCTTGAAGATGGGGGAGGACAGGGTGGTCGGAGTTGTTGAGAACAAGGAGTAGAAAGGGTGGGGGTCGGGGGTTCTAAAAAGGGAAGCGGGAGAAACAGGAGGAATTATACAACAGGGCTAAAGGGAGGAAGCAATGAAATAGCCACACGGCCTCTTTAAGTGGTCGTGATGGCGTGCGGACGTAGAAAAGATTGCTCCGGTCCCGCAACCTGTTTAAAGTCGCTTACTCCTTCCTAAAACGATTACCCCACCCCTCGCTGTTTTTTTGTTTTTTTGTTTTGTTTTTTTCTTCTCAATTCTCTTTGTATTGTCCTCACGATCTGAACGCCTGGAACGTGCTAGAAAACGATTGCCTGCCCTATCGGAACTGGATCAGTTACTCGAATACAATGCGAGTAAAAATAGGTTCCTATGGAACGAACGGAATGGTCGACGGATCTTCAGAATTTTATTGAAAACAGGAAAATCGCTGTAGACTACGAGTAGTCCCCCATTTTTCCTCTGGGATAGTAGGGCGAGCGAAACGCGAGCGCGCGTGAAAATCACCCCACGCGAGAAAAGGCGAGTTTTCTCTCTCCCCGCCGCGTGTCACCTTTTCTCGCGCGGGGTGATTTTCACGCGCGCTTGCGTTTCGCTCGCCCTACTATCCCAGAGGAAAAATGGGGGACTACTCGTAGTCTGCAATCGCTGTAAACAATGATCAGGAGGACGACGACGCCCTTGAATTAATTAACTGTGTCTACAAATTCACAATGTGCTGTCTTCAAGACACTATCCGTGACCCTGGATTTCTACTTAAACACAAAGACCCTACAAATTCAGGGGAAACTAGCGGTGAACTGAGAAATAGATTTCCCGATGTCTTCAAGCTTCTTCAACCTCGGAATGAAATCCTGCCATCTTGATTACACTAGCAGCGAGCAGCATTGTTAAGGAGATACTTATAAACAAAAGTGAAATTGAGCAAAATAAGCTAAAATATAACGCGCCTTAAGGGACTTCCAACTTTGCAATTGGCAAAACAGTTGATCGTGAGTAAGCTAGGTTACTCTCCTTCAAAGCAATTCTGGCAGCCCTCGTTTGATTTCAGGTTCTAAAGATTTATATCTAGAAGGAGCTAAGTTGTTCTAAACAACATCACTATATAATCTCAATTGGGAAGAACTTGAATCAGTTTAATTAGAACAGATACAAATTTAGGGTGTGTAAACAAACGGCAACCGCAAAACGAGTTTGGTTTTCCTAGCAGAACTACGGGGCTGGGATATGGCTGCTCTTCCACGAATTTTCAATTTTCAAATTCCATCAAAAAAATTCTATCATTATTTTTTTTTCCTTAAGAAGCAAATTTCTTGGATAATAGTAAAGTTTCAAAGCAAGTCAAGAGTAATTTGCAAAACTAAGCAAAATGGACTTGAACTACAGTCAGGCATTCCTTGCCATAATTGTTCCACTGCGAGAATCCTTGATGCACTCGTTAAGGAGATTACTAGGAAAAGAGGTTACGGTCACGGATCGACCCTTGAAAACAAAAAAAGAAAACTGTTACAATAAAATAGACGCCGTTGAAGAAAACACTCGTACAGCATCACTTCATAAACATGAAGAGAGAACAAAAGACAAAGAGAAAATAGGGACAGTTCCTTGTCACTCCCCCACTAGGCTTACACCTGTCGGAACACGAAAACCCAGCCCAAATTTCAATGGGACGGCAAAACAAATCCATTCAAGAAACCACGAGTTTTGTTCAACAATGGCCTCTTGGTGTCGCTTAAGGTCATGTTATCTTTTTCTGACTTCTTAAAAAGTACCCTTTTAACACATTTCCTTTTACCAGTTGAAACTTCTTCAAAACGTCTAAAACAAAACCCGGGCCACGGTTTTAAAATTTAGTCCGAGATCTCTGAGGGTAATTGGGGGCCATGTAAGGATTATCTCCTGAAACAGTCAGAAATCGTGGTAGTTTAATTTTCTTTTATCTCACTTTCAATGAACCAATATTCGATTAACTGAAGACATACACAGAAAGAAACAATGAAAATAACAGAATATTTTCCAAAAAAATTGGACCACGTGCGCGTGATCATGCAAACCACGTGTTGCTGGAAACATCTGGACAGCACCTGATTGCGCAATGACTGACGTGACGTCAAAAGTTTGAAAAAGCTCGCGATGATGTAATGGCGCGACCTGTCGAAACAGATGCGAGCAGGCGAAAATGGCCGCGTTTTATCGCTACTCCTGTTTATGGCACGGTTGTGGCAAGCAGTGTACATCTTTATTAGACTTAATCGACCATATCGAAGTAGTGCACATAGAGAAGGACCCAAGAGTTCTCGAGAAACAGGAAGCGGCTCAACCTGCGGCCTTACCGCTTTCCTACATCAACTGTTTCTTCACCGATGCAGCACGCAATGCCATAAAACAGAAGGAGCCAGTTTTGAGCGTTACAGAACCTTCAACGCCGAGCCCCGACCACGGTGTTATTAAGAAGAAACGCTCTACTCCTCCTAAAATCACCCTACAAACAATTAGTAACTCCGATGTACTTGACGGGGGAGATGATGATGGAAATTTGAGCGACAACAGCGACGATTCTTGGACTTCAGATAGCTTCGCAAGCGACCTGGTGTTGAATGCTGTGGCAACGGACGATGGCGAAGGAAAGCGATATATTTGTCCGGTTCCTGGTTGCGGAAAGCGATACAAGAATGTTAACGGGATTAAATATCATGCGAAATATGGACATCGAAAGGACACAAACAGACCCAAAATAAAAGCTCACAAATGCCATTGCGGGAAAAGCTACAAAAGCCCAAGTGGCCTACGACATCACATAGTAACGCAACATTCTACGACCCCCAAGCACTCAGTGCCTCAAGAACTCGAAAATGTAGCGTGAAACTGGGCTTACAAGATATAATTTGTGTGTGAATGGGGGAATTTTGAGCAGATTTCTTTTAATACAAGGTTTGTCCCACTGGGAACTTTGTTGTTGTCTGCACACGAAACAGCTGTCGCCTTCTTTTTCATCTTTCTTTTTTATTGGTTGCGATGAAGAAAGTTTTGAAATGTACTGGGGTTTTTTCTACACCAGCGATCGCTGTTGACGGCTCTCAGATTGGATTGTACAGTTTTACGGCAAGATGGTCTTGGCTTCCTAGAGCATTTGGTATAGTGCTAAATCAATCCTTGGGGAATTTGTGGTCGGTAAGGGATAATCAATTAACGACGGCAGATGACAGTCTATTGACACCACAAGAATGAACTATTTTGGGGGGTTTTCAATAGCAACTGTGTTCTTGTGTCCTGGGGAATGTGTCAGACACATAGAAATATGAATGATGTTGGTGAGATTTTGTTGTTTTTGACCCCAAAGTTTTTGAGAATTCCAAAACCATGGCCATTTTCACCCTGATAAATTATTGTAAATTATATTGGCTTACAACGTGAAAGGTACACGTATAAACCCGATACAAGTTTATTTTGGCTTGATGTATTTTTGTGGGTGAATTTCTTCCATTTTTTCGGTCACTTTAAATGAAGAGTTTGTAGCTTAAGTCAGAGAAATTTCAACTTTTATCTGGAAAGGATAGAGTTTATTTATGAGAAAGTCTTAATTATGGAATTTTTAGCAGAGTATTTAGAATTCATCTGTCACTTGGATATTACAAAAAGGGAAGGTTGTAAATAAACATTAGGTTACATTGTGAATATATAAAAAAAATCTTTAATATAATTTAAAATGTTAAGATATAAGTTATTAAATTATGGTAACACCTTATAATTCCACTATTTGTTTTCACCAGCTTTTAACAATTCATGAGACATAAAAAATGTTCATCACAACAACAAGAATATTCTCAGTTTCACTGACTGCTATTATTTATAGAAGTAGTGGTAGAGACTGATCTGTACTGTCAGCAGTGATTATGAGAGTTATTAAAGACGAGAATGAAACAAGACATTGACAGTTCTGAGTGTATGAGTCTGTCCACTCAAGCAGCCTACAGCAACTAACTCTTACCTTTGGGTAGCCAGGTAACCAAAGCATTATATTGGGCACTTATAGAGAGGAGAATTCGTAATGTCATGTTGCCATAGTGGCAAATTTTATGGATCTCAACAAACTGTGGTCTTGCCAATATGACAGAAAAAAAAAACGAAAAAAATTGACATGTATGACTTTCCTGTGCACTCAGAAACAAAATAGTATACCATACTTTTTTCCCATCGTTCAACAATACAAATGGCCATCTCTGTCAAGACGGATTGTTGAGTTCCAGAAATTTTCCCACTATGGTAATGTGACATCACACTTCTCTTCTCCACTGCACAGTGAACTCCTTACCAATGAATGACCAAACCGAAACAGACTTCTTGAAATTCTAGGCTTAAGGGTTCTCTGGAATTTTTCTTAGAGCAGAGCCTTGGTTTGTGTTGGTCCTTTCTAAGCAACATATGATTTTCTACTATTCAGTGCACCAACGGTTCTTTAAGAAAGAGGTAGAATCATTAGAGGTGGCAAATGGTAAAATAAGGGGAAATGCAAAGAACTTGCTAAACTGAGAATTAGCATCTTAACCAGAAAAATTCCAGAAATTCTAGACTGCAGGAAACTTGCAAAAGTAAGACGTAGGACTCATCACAATAATTTATTGCTTCAAGGACTTTTGAGACTGGATAAAAACAGAGTACAATTTGCAAATCCAAACCTTTGACCTAAGACTGCCCGAAAAGGACTTTCCAACTTTCATCTTTGTATTACAGTCTAATCTCCATAGCCGAGATGATTTAAAAGTACAGTGTTACTACTGGCACCATGAATTAGTGTCTGTTTACAGCCAGTCTGCAGCCCAGTCAAGTACTGTAGTTTATTGCCAGAGGTTAAGAGTTGCTTCTGAGGGCATGTTTTATGCAAATGGACCAGTTGCCTGCATGAGAGAGTTACAATTAGCCTCAGATGAACTTCCTGTAAGAAAACTGTCCAAACTGCCTGCATTTCTTTCAATATCTGATTAATTAACAATACAAGCCGTGCCAAGTGGTCACTGGGTTAAGTTGTACAGCTAGTGGTGAACAGCAGATGTCTGAAATGTAACACTATAACATTTATGAAAGAACAAAACTCATCTTGGGAGCTTTTGTGTGACACTCCTCATCAAATTTACACCATTAAGATATTAGATCTGTGTGTCAAGTGGTTGCTATAGGGAGGTTAAAAACAATGGAAAATGACAAAAATGTTAGACTTTCAACCCAAAGAGGTTCCAGCTATAGGACTTGGTCAGTGGGCGCAGAGGAGTCATTTGCGACCTTGATTGTTAATTGTAGTTAACTTTTAAAGTTAATGTAGAATAGAGCAAATGTGTTACAAACCTGCTGAAATATTATCTTTGGAACGAGGCTGGGTAACTAGACAACTAACAGCAGCTCTCCTTTTGTAACAGCAGCTCTCCCTTTTTTCTCGGCACTTTGTGCCTCGCTCCGAAAGCTTCGTTTTCAAAATAAGAATAAAGTTTTATTTGTAAAGAAATTTTAGTTTTATTTTCATTTTTTTTGGTCCTGAAGAAGGGTTGCTTTCAAACCAAAATATTGGGCAATTTAATTAAATATATACTTTTTGTTTTATTCTTTTGTTTACTTCTTCATCGCCTTGTCGCAAGGATCAGTTTGCAGTTTCATATTTTTCTACAAGTTTAATTGTACTGATCCACAGTCTACAACTGGGAGATCCAATACCACTCATTGGTTTGCTGCTGTGGACTTGCTGATAATTTATGTCTCTTTAATCTCAAGCCTAGTTCTGTTCGTTTTGTTTGTTCGTTTGTTTGTTTGTTTTTTGCCCAACCGACAAACACCCTTTTACTGAAAGGATGATGCCGAAACAAAACCCTTTTAACCCGTAAACAAAGAACGAAAACGAAAAAGTTTACAGGCTGGTAGAGAATCAGCTAGCTGCCTCATGATATACTTTAAATGGACAGCTCGCTGGCAGGCTAAGATTCAGCCTGTACAGCCTGGGTGATATCAGTGCATGCTAGTAAGGTACTGGCACTATACCGCGGTTATATGGCGCGTAGTGTGGTCAGTCAGATGTACTTCCTTGCTTAGTTTGGTAAAATGTTTACAGTACCAATTTTACCTCGTTACGA